ATGCCGTCTACGATTAATTTGATTTCTGTTAATTTTGTCAGTGAATATAAGTAAAATTTTAAAACCATGTGTGATCCCACAAAGATATTTATACTACTCCGTCGGAAAAAAAAACCCAAAAAATTTCCTTTGAACTTTCCATTGTATCTGCACAAGTAATTCCTATTATCATTATATCATTAAAAAGGCACAGCTACCCTTTCCTCATGATAACAAAATAAAAAAAAATTCGATACAAAAAGCAGATTTACCTCAGCCGATTTTCTTTCTCTCAAAGATTCTTCTTGATTTTTTTACGTTTTTTCCTGGAAAATGTTATATTCATTTAAATAACCATAATTGTTTGAAGTTTATTCTCATAATATTTCATTGATAAAAATGAAAATAAAATGACTTTGAACGAATTGTACAATTTATTTTATAACAACAGTTATTTGACTTGATAAAAGTAAATTTAGATGTTTTTCTTTTAAATCGCCAGATAAGAATGCATAACTTAAATCTATATTTCTTTAAGGTATTATAAGATACACCTCAAATGAAGACAAAAAACCACTGCATGGTAATTTGTTGATTTAACATGTCATTAAAAATTTCAAATGGTGAGTTAAATCATCAATCAAGATTTTAAAACAATCTTCTTAACCACTTAACAAGTATTTTTAGGGAACTAATTTTATAACTTTTTTAAGATCAGACATTTACTCATTGCTCAGAAGGATTTTCAAGAAACATAGCTTGAGTTTTAATCTACTTGTTCAGTGTCCGCAAGATCTTCATTTATTATATTTGATAATCTCTATTTGTAACAAAATACAAACTAATTGCTCAAAGGTATTTTTAAATTCAAACTACGTGAACTATTTCAATAGTTCGTACAAATACTTAAAAACATAACTTTGATGGTTTTCTGAACATTCACTGTAATATTTTTACAGCTGACAAATAAAATACCGTAACTTATATATGTTAAATACATTCGTTTTTTTGGCGTTGATTAATGTTAGCGATCGCTTGATGTAAATTAGTCTGAATAACCTTTCCAAAGGAAGTGTTTCCGATGCAATGCTCGTAAGAAAATCATTATCATCAATGACTTTTCCTGTATATAATTCTACATGATCATTTCCGTGTTTACTTATTTCACCTTTTGTAACCATAACAACTGTTAGAATTTCATTTGGCGGGACTTCATTCTATTCAAATTGTCTCATTTATAGGAATGTTTATAGGATCATGGTGGGGCTAAGAGTGTGAGGTTTGGTGCATCATTAACCGCTTTAAATTTCCCAGCTGCTGACCTTTCCAAGGCGGCGCCCCTCTGTGTTCCTCAGATGTAAGTCTTTGTTATTTCTTACTACAATGGTGACACTTTTATGTCCCTTCTTGCTGTTTTTCTTGTCTACGGTAAGTATCTTTTTTACCTGTTGCCCCTAGTTTTATTGATTTTAACTTTGTCCCTCCCCTTCCCCGTACTTCAAGTCCCCTGTGCCCTTTCATTTTGTTGGCCTATTAATCAATCAATTGCCTTTGATTTCCTCGTCGGTTGATATTATTTCTTTTTATGTTTTATAAAAGTTATTAACCTGTCAATACTCTGCTTTATACCCTGTCTTGCTTTTGTTTCGGGTCCTCCTGGGCTCCTTGCCACCGGTACTTGTTGCTGGGTCGTGTGGGGGTGCATTCATTGAACGCCGTTTTTCCTTGTTGATCATGTTTATTATATTGTATATTTTCTTTTAAATTTGAAGTTATAAACGTAACCACTTAATGGCAGGTGACGCACTTCAAAATTCCTTGTCAATCCACATGTTAGTTATTACGCATTCCATTAAAATTGAATGCGCATGAACTAACAAGACATAATAACTAGTATCTTTGTTTACAGTTACTGAAACAATTATTTTTAAAACATGATATCAGACCGTTTTAATAAGGCCTCTGAAACAATCTAAATATCAAACTTATAAGAAAATTTCAAACTCGGTTTGATTGAATTTGATCATTGAGAGGTAATGTAAAAGTTAAACATCTCTCACGCCCCCAGCACCGACTTAAGCGGTATACAATCTTCAACACAAAATGTGACGAAATAGTTGACCCCCAAAGGACTAGAAGAACTATAAAAACACAAAAATGAAGTGCGACATTTTTTGCTGCTAAACGGCTCTTGACACCTGGTCTTGTGAAGGATAAAATCTGATCTATGATACAAAAATATTAAGTGGTTTTTTTCTGCCCGAGCTCTTGTACAAAAGGAAAATAACAAAGCAATACTAAGCTAATACTTCACTGCATACTTAAAGTCAAAAAACATTTTTTATATTATTCTTTGATATAACTTATTTACCATTGTAAGCTCGTTAAGTAAACAGGATGTACTTGAATAAAATCTCCAAACATATGGCTTCGCACATTATATCTCTAGCACAATTTGTGCCGTTTGATAACTTACTCAAATAATAAGTTTCTAAATAAAAAAAATCCGTGTTTGGCTTTGAATTATATTCCAAGTCGCAAAAACATAACCTACCACAACTTAATTAAATAGAAATTATTGACTTTTCAATATCTCTTTATGAAAATCTCTAATAGGAAAAATTTCTGTTGTCTACAATAAATCTTATGTCCTTAGGTCAAAATCATTGACCTTCTTTACTAGGATATTTGAGGAAAATATTTTAAGGAAAAAAGAAATTCAGTGAAGCCGATTCTCCATCTGCAAATCGTTGACAACTTCAGTTGATTTTGTTTCTGCATCAACTTTAAGTTAATTAATTATCCTCCTTCCTGGTCAAGCAATTAAATGAGAGGAATTTATAAACAACTTGTCATGTTTAATTCAACTATTTTACAACGCACTTTCGTTAAAAACGATACCTTACTTTTCATATTTCTTGTCACATTTCTTCATTTAAACGATTTACCCATGCTTGTTTAAAACTGATAAAATTTTCTTATCTCAGTTACTATTAAATATCAACGATTATTTATGTAGTACAATTCCAGTGCACAGGAATTATTCGTTTGATTAAACGATGCATCATTTTATCATGATCAGTGCTAAAAGTATATCATACTCTATTAATGCTTACATTATTTGTTAATACCACTTCAAAGAACAAAATATTTATTGTTTTACTAATAAGAACAAGGCCTAGAATGCATGTCGGTAAAGTGTTCGACACTTGTATGTACTTTAAATGTTTGAAAAGCCTTATAAGTAAACAAGGAAGAAATAATTAAAGTCAAAATGATAATTGATTTACGCTTGTGCTGAAAAAAAAAACTATCCTTATTTGTAACGTAAAGATTGCATACGATTATTTGTAACGGTAAAGGCAACAACGCAAGGAACATATAGGTATATAATGCTTTCATAATTGACATGACCATTTAAATTTAAACAGTTGTAAGGCTTGAAAAAATATAGGTTCTATAATTGAAAATTATTTGATATCACGATGGAGTTTGCATGTATAATTTGCTTACCACCTTTTCATGTCACATTGATTAATAAGATCAGTTTGTCATTTAGTGTTAAAACATTTTAAATGTCTTTATTATTATCTGGCCAGTAAACAATATGTGTCCAAGTGAAGCAGAGACTTTCAGTTCAGATTATTATAATTATATGACCTTAGTTAGAATGACTGTTCTCAGATCTATTTTTTTACACTATAAGCAACTGCTGGTAATAATTGTTATTTTGAGACATAATTATTTTTCAAAAAATATAATAAAATTAAACGACATATCATACAATTATGAATGTAAATCTTTAAACTACCAGTATACTAAGTTGCAATAGAAAGTGTGCACTTGGTTACAGGGACATTTTATATATAATGTATCTATGTTTGGTATATTTGGTATCACAATTTGCAGAAATATATTGACTACATGATGTTTAACACTATCACTTTGAAATTTGATCATTATCAGATCCTTGGGTTAAACAGCTGAGAAATGAAAAAAAGTTGCCTTTATGTAGTTGCATTTTATCTTAAGATACTTGAATGTTTGAATGGTATACATTTTTAAATTTTCCGCTATTTACACTTTACCAAATAACTGATAATTATCAAAATTCAATACAATTTAAATCACTGTTTGGTCACTACATTTCTGCAAATTCCGAGATCAAATTTGTTACTATTTCACTTTTTTATATATGTTTAATTTCCAAGTAACTAAGTGCACAGACTAATATAATTTTTCCACTTTAAATGTCAGATTCGCTTTTTTGTTCAATTTACATTTAGCTTCTCATTATTGTTATGGCGCAAGTATTTTCTATAACATTGTTTAAAATAATGTAGTATTCTCTTTGAATAAACAGTATTATTATCACCACTTAATTTCAGCTGATACACTTCACTGTGCCGTTTAAATCACAGTTTTCCTCAAGTTATTATGAATTGCAATCTAAGTAGAACGCGCATTAAACATCGGGACATGATTTCAAGAGAATGACTTTTGCAAAATTGTTCTTGTTACATATGGTTATATAAATACAATTTAAAATTGGAATAATTAAAAGAATATAAACATTTATTGAGTCTTCTTTATCTGTCTTTGGATACTAAAAACAAAATGAAATTTGTATACGTTATTATTTTGTTTGTTACCATCCCAACAGTTAAATGTGAAGGGGGTGCAAATTGTGACTGTCAGGAAGTTGGAATATTAAAGGATATAGTACAACAAATTCTGATAGAACAACGAATGGAGTCAGCTAGAATAAGTAGATTGGAGGCAAAACAAGACAGATCTGGGCCAAATCCTAATGGTAAAAAATATGTTTCAAATTTTTGTTTGATAAAACGTAAACACATGCTAGATATAACAAGACCCTACATAACTGTGATAGTGAGAATAGGTCTAAAACCTAAACAATTTCAATAACAAAAATGGAAATAAATAAATATTTATGTCATTTATGGCTTTTAAGCACTCAAATAAATTTACGTTTCAAGAGGTTTGTGTCCTACAAAAAGCATTATCTTTATATTTCAGATCGTCTAGAAAAATTAGAACAACACGTGAAAGATATTGATATGAAATTTAATGAAATACTTATCTGGGCAAATGATAAACAGAACGGATTCCTTCGGGACATTGGTGAATTTGTAAAGAAGACGCTGAGCGCAGAGAAAAAAGAAAGAAAGAAATTTGTTTTAAACATAAATGAAAAAGTTTTGGAACAGAAGGACGTCATAGAAGAGTTCAAAGTTGCAATTAACAATACTATAGATACACGTTTCCAAGATATTACTGTTAAGCAATTGGAATATGAAGACACCATTGAATGGTTCAAAGTTGCGATTAACAATACTATAAACAACCGTTTCCAAGACATGGCTGCTAGTCAAGTGGAATATGAAGAAACCATTGAATTCTTTAAAGTTGCAATTAACAATACTTTTGGCACAAGGTTCCAAAATCTCACTGCTAAGCAAGTCAAAGACAGGGATGAAATAATGGAGACTTTGAATGAAGTGAAAAAGGAAACAGCAAGTTTCATCAAAACAATTTTTAACAATATCTCTACATTTGAAAATGAGCTAATGAAAGATGTTAATGGACGATTCGATAGTTTTAAGAAAGTAAATAATACCATCCAACGCATTTCCTCAGATCTTGATTTAGTTAACCAAAGGGTAGAGAAGACCAGAAATATGGTAGACACACTTGGGAAAGTGGTGGAAGATGGCCAAGGTTAATATTTTTTATATCTCACCTTTACAATAATTATATACATACTTATTATTTTCGTGTCGTTATACGCATACATATAAAAAGTAACTGCATAGAATTTTACATACTTGAATGGCAATATGATTTAAATAACAAGATTTAGGTCTGGGTCAAAACCAAAAGTTTATGTCCCATCTTGATGATTTTGTTTGAGTTAATTTATGTAACCAGAATAAATCCTTAGTTACTTAAGACAATAAACGGAATGATCATTTCAGACGCTCTGTTATTTCAAATCGAGGTAAAATAGTACTGTGAGTTTAATATATTGGACTGCTAATCAAAGGGTCGTCTGTTCGAATGTCGTCGTTTAAGATTCGAAATCACAATTAGTGGTATAATTGACTAGGTCTCCCAGAGTCATCTTGTAGAATGAAAACGGTATTTCTTTGAGGTTAAAAAGATTTTTTGACATTTAAGAGAAAACAAAAGCAAAAGATCAATGTCACAGTTGAAGTTCGACAGTGTAAGTAACATAGTAACTGTCACAATAGCAATCTGACATAAGCTCAAAAATTATGAACGTGTCATCTCTCTGTCAATGGCAATATCATCTCCAAAACATGTTTTTATATTGAAAGTGTTAAATGTAAAAGGGGTCATTCACCTCTACCTTCATGACCTTATGATATTTGAATACAAAAAATAAATAATTATTGCTATTTTTGAAGTGCGATTAGTCAATGGGTTAAACAAATATGAAGGGAGACTGGAAGTATGGCATGATTGGTCTTGGGGAACAGTATGCGATGATGGGTTTGATTTGCAGTCAGCAAGTGTTGTTTGTAAGATGCTGAATTATCAACAGTGAGTTACAAACAATTTTACTGCTTTTTGGTACTCAAATTTTTACCAAACTAAATAACGATTGATTAACAGCATCAATTTATCCTCTGCTTGATACTAAAGAGAAACGTATTATTTTTTTAACGACAAACACTTTTGTGTTTAAATAAATGAACAAAGTAATCATCAATATAAGGAATAATAAAAATGGAAAGTTTGTTTTGTTAGATTAAGTATAACATAATCATTTCAGGACCAATCCTGTTGTATTCAATTCCGCGTTCTTCGGCGCTGGGACATTACCAATACATTTAGACGGCGTTTCATGTTTTGGATATGAAACAAGCTTATCTCAATGTCTGCATAATGGTTGGGGGAAAGAAGATTGTGTTCACTCTGAAGATGTTGGCATATCATGTACACCAGGTAATCTTTTCTAGATAAGAAGTACTTTTGAAATGCACTATTGATATAGATACTTTTGAAAGACATTGCATTTGAAAGTTCAACAGTTGAATTGTTTAACAGAAGAAAATACAAAGAAGAAATAAAGAAAAAAGAAAAACTCAAAATTTCATTTGCACAATAAAACATTATAATCCTGAAAAAGGGGTGACCAAATGATCTGAAATTTGGATATTCAGTAAAGAATACACAAACATTTTACATACATCAACTTCAAGCACCTTTACAAATACAACCACTATCACAACAGCCAATGTCACTACAACCGACACCGACTTCACCATCAACATCATACCGCTACTTCAACTACCACCATTATGTCCATCAAATCTACTTAAACGACAACCACTAAAATCGCTTCCACTTCTACAACTAACACTACTTACAACACCACTACTACTACTACTACTACAACTTCCATTACTGAAACTAACATAACACAACATTTTTAGCATTTATGAATAAGACATTAGAACAGATGTGAAATATTATTATTTTTATCAGATGATTACCTACAATTACATTGACCGTATACAAGTTATAATGCAATAAAGCTTGGCGGGGTGTGGTCAATGCAGTTCTGATTTTCTAATTACCAATAAAAAAGGTAATTATCCTTCGGATAATAATTTGATTCGACTGCATTTTAAATGACAAAAGCAAGAACAATATATTTTATAAGCATTAGATATTGTACAATATGTTTATACCAACTAATCTTGAAAAGAATTCAAATACACATTGGTGAGCATAAGTACATGAAAATAAGTAAATGAAATGCATTTTTAGTAATAATTTCAGTATTTCTGGTACAAAAAAGTGATGAATAGACTAGCAAATTGTATAAGACTAATGCCCATTTTTTTGGCCAAGTACAAACTTGCCAAATTCAATTTAATGCATCTTAAGTAAGCATTAAAATATTTTTGGTACAAAAAATGTCGAATATAATAATAAACTGTATAACACTAATGAACAGCGTGTTAAAACTGGCCATATATACAATTTGCCAGTCTCAATGAAACACTTAATCACTTAACAGTTAATATGAATGCATTTTGGTACATACAATATGTTGACTAACTAACAGCGCCTCTCTTTAAGTTGGCGAAGTATTCACCCTGCCAAACTCAATGAAATGCTTCTTCAGTAACCATAAAAGTGTTTTGATACTATAGCAAACTGTATAAAATTTAGGAACAGCGTTTCTCTTTAACTTAGCCAAGTAGTTTTTTTTTGCCAAACTCAATGAAATACTTTTTCAGTGAGTATTAAAGTATTTTTGGTTAAATAGCAAACTGTATTATTACATGAATAGTGTTTCTCTTTGTTGGCCAAGTATATATTTTGCGAAACTCAATATAATAAAATAGTTTTTCAGAAGGCATTGAAATATTTCTGAAAAAAAAGTTAAATACAATGGCAAACTATGTAAGACTCATGAACAGTGTTTCTATTTAGATAGCAAAGTATACATGTATATACTCTGCCAAATTTTAATGAACAGTGTTTCTCTTTCAGTTAGCAAAGTATACATGTATATATTCTGCCAAATTCTAATGAACAGTTTTTCTCTTTAAGCTAGCAAAGTATATATAATCTGCCTAAACCAATTAAGTGCATTTTCACAAACCATTAGCACATTTCTGTTACAGAAAATATTTAATACAAAAGCAAACACATTTTTGACTAATGAACTGTATTTTCCTTTAAGTTAGCGAAGTATATATATTTTGCTAAATTCAATCGAACGAATTTTATACTTGATGCCATTCACTTTTCAACTTATTTAGTGTTGGCCAATGACATAAATATGGTTTAAAATATTTTTCCTTTAGTTCCCTTTACACTGGTCCAACCAGAAGAAAGTGATACACTGTTTCTACAACGTTCATCAGGCAACAACGACATTAAATTTATGGGACTGTGGTATATTATAATATCTTCCCGTTTCAATAGGAAATTGATGAGATGAAACCCAAAACGTAGTGAGTGCTATTCGAAATTTAGCAGTACCTATGTTATCTAAATTCTTCTCAAACTTAAAATCCTGTTTAAATGAACTATATTGTATGCCTGTAGCATACTGTAAATGACAGTACTACAATACCATTGTTGATAATGCATATACAAAATTCTCTGTTTTATCATAGAGTAATTAAACTCTCCCTGATTGTCCCATACATTACTTAAGCCATAGTCTTGTCATGATAACTCTTTAAGCCGAAATGCGCAGTTTTTACCATTATATGATGTAGTTATCTGCATTAGATTCAACATTTTCTATGGTTTGTATAAAACACTATAATTATGGTATGAATTTAAGACTTTATCGCAGTATTTGACTATCCTTAACCTACAAATTATAATAAGTGGTAGCCTACCAAGTTCTCCATGATTCAACTATTCACTACCTCTAACTGAGTACCATATAAAAAGAAGTCATGATAAGTTAATTTCTCTCTCTGAAATATCATGGTTTTTATGTGTTTATGTTTAAACCTCTTGCATTGCATTAATTTTTAATATCATTTAATAGCTGCAAGCTTTCTGAAGACTTTGCAAAACAAGTCTGATCATCGGTATAGAGTAAAAGGAACAGGTTCATTTCATTTATACTTAAGATGCCATCTATCTATGTCTGAAATGATATTGCAAAATAAATGAACGGCAGGTCTGATTGCTTCCTAAAGTATGTTGGACATGCAAAAATCATTATCACAAGTCATAAAGAACGTAATTCGCAACAGTAGTTCAGATCATTTTGATCGCAAAGATTACCCTTTATCACAGCGACATAATTGTATTTCACAGTTTGAAAGATACAAACATAAAAATAAATTAAAAATACAGTTAGCAAGACACACTTACACAAAAATAACACGTCTTCAAATTGATCAAAATAGAGCTTAGTCAATGTTTTTTGTCTTCTTTATTTATTGATTTGTATACAATCCGGTTAAATAATAAAATGGCTTTTTGTATTCAAATATAGGCGGAATTTATGGTCGCGTTCAGTTAAAGCACTTATAAATATCAAAAGATAATCTGTTTTGTGTTTACATCATCATTAATAACGCGAAACAATAGATATTTTGTTGTCCAAGCGAGAAACATTTACACATTAGTGAAGTTGACAACATGTCAACAAATTAGGTAGGGATATTCCTACGCCTTCGGTGAAAATGGTGGCGGAAATTACCGATCGCGATATGGAAAAGACGATTTTCCAAATCATTTTTTTCATTTAAGGACATTGTTAAAACACTTTTGTGTGTTTGTTTTTGTAATCTACATATCGAAATATATTTAAAACAGAAAAACATGAATATTGTTGTCCACAGACCTTAAAACATATTTAATTAAACTCGATTGCAAATGAAATTCTTGCAACTTACATTTTATACTTTCGCACCAATCATTGTGACCCGAGGAGGAGCTGAAACTTATGATCTCTGTGTTGACAGACAAACACCTTAACCATCAGGCCACCGATTCCTTTAAATGAATTGTTAAATGATTTAACATCCGAATTTTACTATGATGTATGTTTATTTGCACAATAGGGCAGCTTCATGCCAGAATTGTTGTTTTTCAAACAAAGCGTTTTCGAATTAACAAGTAAGTCAGGAGAAGGAGAGAACACACGTCAACATCAGGATGGTTTGTAACTGGTTTATTTATTTTTTTAAAAGAAGAAAGACTTAGCATATGAAGTAGGGAAATAAAAAAAATGTTTAAAATGTTAATGCTTTTCGTGTAGTTCGATTGGTAAACGGATCAAATGAACATGAGGGGAGACTGGAAGTATGGAATAATGGGACTTGGGGAACAGTGTGCGATGATTATTTTGATGTGTTATCGGCCAGTGTTGTTTGTAGGATGCTGAATTATCCACAGTAAGTAACAGACATAATCAGCATATTTCCGCATATCACATATGTTATATAGCAAAAATGTCTTATCAACATCTTTAATTCTAACAAAGATTGATTTCGTAAAAAAACTATTCTAGTGCCACTAGTGAACATAATATTTTATCAAAAAATTAAAACATTTGGATTAAGTCCATAATGTTCAAGACATCTTTCTGAAAAGATGGTATGCTTACAGACGGTCAGAGACCAGAATGATCTGGAAATGAACATCAACCGACTCCCTCGTTTCCGAACCCTTGCACGTGTGCTTTGGAAGTCTGTTCTTTAAAAACAATTAATAATATGGCTTAAATCATTGTCATCAATTTTTGAAATCTTGCAATCCTTAATTTAAAGTGAGCATACGTTTGAAATATATGAAACAGACGTTAAAATTTATTCTTATGTTTGTTCTATGCTTAGAGTTTTAATTGTAAACTCATAGGATTAAAGTGTTTTAAGATACCTACAAGATAAATTTCTAGCACATTTCTCCGATTTGCTCAAGATCTATATAATCGTATATTAGATCAGACTAAAAAAGTTACCACAATACAAAATTTTTCACTTCTATTCAAATACAAATATTATTTGAAAATCGAAATATTGCTTTAAAGGTGCATTTTTTGACCCTTTTGCTTTGAAAACAGACGGTTCTTTTACTCGCCTTGGAGATATACCTTCTTTATATATACTTCGCAATTATTCACTCCGGGCCAGTTTTTGTTAACGCGTGACGGTAGATAACAATATCGGGAGCCGTCGATTTGAACGCCCGGGATCTGGTATCGTATCAAAAATATTCGTCTGGGAATTATTGGGTTTGATATTTGTCTTGATTTGTGGTAGGTAATTGAAAGTTTCAAAAAACTTACAACAGTACATACTTAATGACACTATCTATTTAAAACAAAGCTTGAAATATAATTATACAAACTTTATACGCCTTCACATTTACTTACTTTTAATACGATTCCGGATCCCAAGCGAATCGAATCACTGGCGTTCCAGATTCCGGGAAGTTCCTAACCACTGTAACACAAACTATGTTAAATGAATTAACTTTTTTATGATCACTGAAACCAACTGTACAAACAGTAGTCATTCAGCAAACCTTATTTAAAGGGATTTCATTATGATGAATGATCAATAGCAATATTGATGTGCTACTTAATTCTTAAAGAATTGCATTAAATATTTTGAGCGATCGAAAGTGGTAAGATGAATATATGAATAGCATTAAGAGAAAAGGAAACATATAATAAATCTGTGTTTTGAAATGATAATTTCAGCACGAATCCTCTGGTATTTCGATCCGCACATTTTGGTGCTGGTTCATTACCAATACAGCTTGATAATGTTAAATGTAAGGGAAATGAAACAATGCTTTCTGAATGTTCGCATTATGGTTGGGGAAAACATAATTGTGATCATGATGACGATGTTGGCATATCTTGTTCATCAGGTAATCTTTGCTCATGAACTAAACGGTTGATATTGAATAGAAAATTTATCGAAAGTACCAAAAAAAACCATAAAAAAATAAAATAAACATGTCTGTAAAAAATGAAAATGAGCTTCAAAGATATTGATAAAGCTAATGTGTTAAAATATATCATTGATAAATGTGATATTAAAGTTAAAAAGAACACGTTTATGTTACATTCCAGCTCTATATCTTTCTGTTTTATTTAATTGCAATCCTTGAGAGAAAAAAAGATGAATAATTTCTTTAATACTTAAGGCTATCTTTCGTAGAATTCATAAGGTTTAAATTTGTCAAATTGTCTATCATTAGTTATCATTTATCCTTCAGAAGTCTTATTAGGGTCAATAACAGTAATATTTTTATGGCACTTATAATTTTGATTTAATTATTTCAGTTAAAATATGTTCATAATTGTCGTAAATAAGATTTGTGAACAGAAAAAAAAAACGGAAATATCTCTGTATCTGATTATATACTTTAGCATCAAATCATTCAAATATTATTTTTATGTTGTAAAATTTTAATAGTACGATTGGTCAATGGGTCAAATCAGTATGAAGGGAGACTAGAAGTATGGCATAATGGTACTTGGGGAACAGTATGCGATGATGGGTTTAAAAAGCTGTCAGCAAGTGTTGTTTGTAAAATGCTGCATTACGCACAGTAAGTAACAAACACTGAAAGCTTACTTCTGAGTCTGTTGAACATTTGTGTTATAAACCTAGTTAGAATGTCTTATTCATAAACATTTTCATATGTATTTAACTTTTATTGATAACGTGAAACAGAGAACTATTAAGAAATGTCATTTCATTATCTCGAAGTGTAAAACAGATTTTTTTTATCAAACATGAGATTCGATTTTGGAAAATGAGATCAGGACAAATCTGTTTCAAATATTAATATTTTTCATGAATTACATTCACATTTTTCTTCTTTCATAAAACAATCTTTGCGGATCGGCTTTGAAATAATATATGATTCATAAACCAAGAAACAAACAGGCCTTTATTGTCTATATTAGATTAACTAGTATAGAACGATCATAACAAACGTGCATGTATTTTTCTCCGGCAAAGTATGAATCCATATTTGTAAAATTGAATAATAACGTAAAACATTATAAAAAAGATATTTATAATACATTGTATATTGACACAATAATTTTAGGGCTGATCCTGTGGTGTTTAGGTCCAATTATTTCAGCACCTTACCAAGACATTTAGACAATGTAGAATGTACGGGATCTGAAACAATATTATCTCAATGCTCCCATAATGGCTGGGGACAACATAATTGTGGTCATAGTGAAGTCGTCAGCATATCATGTACACCAGGTAATATTTCTAACATACGACTGCCATGTCATTGCAGATAGCATTTCGGCATGTTAACTTTTTAAACTTAAGTTAGAACATCTTTCTATAAACTAAAGTAACATGTTTTAAACGGAAATTCATGATCCTTGTAACTGTTTCTACAAATAAAACAAAAGATACGATATATATCGTATATGACTGTATCATTTTTTGTGAATAAGTAGTACAGGTCGTCCGTTAGATTTTCAAGCATTCATCATAACAATTTCTCTTTATGTTTTGTTAGTTTCTAATCTGCTTGAATTGAAAAACAGTTATAAGTTGCAGTGTACCTCAGAAGTCCCATATTAGAAAATTTAGGCAAACTTTGAAAACAGCATCTCATCGTGATAAATTTTGAGGATATTTTGAATAAGGCTTTTTATATAGGGAAATGGTCAAATAAATGGGTGGTGTAGGATAACATTTTTACACATATTAAAAACATTATGTTTAGAATCATTTTGCTCGTGTAATTTGTTACCTGAATGTTATTATTTGTTACTTAACAATAACCATTAGGGAAACATTTTTTTTTTCATAATGATGATACTATAAATCTATAGATTATTTTTTAAAGCCCTTTAAATAGCAAAGTTTTAGTTCAGAAAAATGTCCATTACTCATAAACTAAATAAATTTTATTTAAATTTTGCCTAAAAGTGACCTTAAAATCATATTAATGTCATGTGTTGTCAATTTTACAGTTCCTTATAGTGCCCATTAGGAGTTCTCTACCTTAATTTGGAAAGGTATTATATTCGCAAAAACACAAGAACAATAGGTTGCCTTTCATTCATCCACTTATGATGAACGAACTATTCGTTGGGCCACAGACACTGGTAATTTGACTTCATATCTGAAGATGCCCTTCTGTTTGAAAGTCTAGTAGAATCTATATTTAAGTAGTGGGTATTAATGATGCTTATCATATTGAACAAGTTATTGTTCTAATCAAATTAGTCAATTTAAAAGTTATTCTTTTAGTGTTTTAAGCTAACGATCTTAATTGCATGTGTCTCGTTGTTTGCAAGCCATCACCATCCAAAATGTCTTATATTATATTCTTTATCCATCGACATCAAAAAGTTCTTTAATTGGTGGAATTTGACAAAACTACGAAGAACATTTTTAATTGGTCCTCAATAAAATATATGAATAGTATTATTCAGACTAAAGTCTTGAAATGAGATATCGTTGTAAATTTTGAATTATATACCCCCAAAATGTGAAAAAACGTCTCTTAGATATTTAACATTTTCATTTTTGATTACAAAAAGGTGAACTTCGCGCATTTTTAAATAATGAAATTGACTTTCTTGGTATCTTCTTAAAAGGGGAGGTCAACCAAAATTCTTTGCATTGTAGTTTAAACACTAGTTTACCTTAGTTAATACATTGAAATAGGTAAAGAATTGTGGTACGTTTGGTAGATCACATTTAAGCATTAGAGAGGATATTCCGCTACATTCATTGTTTAAATTATTACAGATGTTTGTGAATAAGTTCTTGACAATATTTATAGTCAGCGTGTGTAATAAGCCAAAGTCCCTGCCTGACTTTAAATCTGCAGCGGCGTAAGGAGCAAGTCAACGACCTTAACCACTCGTCAACACAGGACCCTTGTTCGATTGTAAAATGTAAATAAAAGCAAGTACCTTTGCCACACCAGTTGATGGCATTCCACTTGCTTACACAATAACCGAAACAGACACAATGATAAAAGTTTATATGAACAAAACGTAACAGATGACATTGTTATCGGACATGGATTATGTTCTAAATATTGGTATAATGCACAAATAAACGATCCAGTTTCAGCATATTTGCTGCGGAACCAAAACAAGGTCTACGACATTTGGTTCTATGCCGAAACAGTTTCAATATATCTCAACAGAATGTTATATACAGAAAGGCATTTGTCTGGTCAAGAAAGGCTTCAAGTTTTTGTGTTCAAAGTAGCTTGCGTGATGACATATTTAAGGCATTGCACGACAATTTAGGTCACCAAGGTCGTGATAGGACGTTATCACTCTTTAGAGAACGGTTTTACTGGTCAGGTATGGATTCTTTTGTGATTTCAAAAGTGAAGAATTTCCGCCGTTGTATTTGAAAAACAGTGTTGAAAACCTTACACCATTATCTACAATAGCACTAATGGAGGTCGTCTGTATTGACTACTTATCTCTAGAACGATCTTCTGCAGGATATAAAATAGATAAATACAGAATCCCTAAAGAAAGCCCAACACGGCAAAATTGAAAACGTTGCAGGCTCGGTTTGATTGACGGTTCATGGACGGTACTGGAAAATGCAAGTTACCGTCCACGCCCCCTAGCACCGGCTTAGGCAGAATTCAACATTTAAACATGAAATAGTAAAATTTTGAATTTAGAAATATAAAACCACTTTGGTTATGACTGACCATTTCAACCGATTAGCTCAAGCATATCCTACAAGAAATCAGACGGCTAAGACAACTGCCAGAATTCTCCATGACTAGTTCTTGATTCATTATGGATTTCTCGGTCAGATACATAGTGACAAAGGCAAGACCAAAAGGCAAGATTGGGAACGGCCAAGTGGAAAGGTTCAATGCAATGTTATTAAAGATGCTTAGTACATTAGAAGAATACCAAAAATAAGGTTTGAAGGCTCATGTTCCAACATTAGTTCACGCATACAATGCAACCCGACATGATTGCACCGGATGTTTGCCGTACTTCCTCATGTTTAGAAGATACCCAACGTTGGCGATTGACGCATCTTAAAGGTTGCCTAATGACCAACTTTCAGCGCCAACAAATACTGTAAGATATACCTATTCTAAATTCAAAGATCAAAATGTCGCTGAGAATTTTTGTTTCAACTTTCATATATCGTATTTTGTACAATACAAACTGTTTGTTTTTATGTAAATTAAATATTTATCAAACTATATCAAAACTACTAATGAAGATGAATTTAAGGACAGCATTTTTGTAGAGGAGGGTAATATGTCACAAGTGTTAAACATAGTCAATATTAAATAAATAGTTTTTATTTTGATCAAATGGTGTCTGACATTTATCCGAATGAACTACAACTTAATAAAACGAACTCTTGAAATTTTAGTACATCATTTTTGGATCTTCATATTACTATCAACAACAATTCTATTCACACGAAAATCTATGATAAAAGAGATGACTTTTGTATAGTTAATTATCCACATTTAGATGGAGACGTACCCCATGCAACATCTTACGGGGTTTATGTTTCTCAGTTAATTAGATTCGCTAGAGCTTGTAGCAACGTAACGGATTTCAACGAGCGGAATATTTTTATTACCAGCAAGCTTCTAAAACAGGGCTACCGCTATCATAAATTACGGAAATATTTTACTAAATTTTACAATCGTAACTTTGATTTAATTTCTAAATTCAATAGTGATTTAAAAACTCTTCTGCGACAAGGGATTAGCCAGCCTGGTTTTTATGGCGATGTGATTTACAAACTTCGTAAGATGTTGGGTCAAGGTAATTTTTCTGCTGTTCTTACTAAAATAATTAAACAATTTATTAAAAGAGATTATGACCCTACTATTTTAAGACATACTGCATGTTTAGTGTTCAACCCTTCTACAGTTGGACACTACGCTTTCCTCTTTTGATTGCATCCTACGGACCAAGTGGGAGACTCTATGATGGATTGTTCGTAAAGCCCTTTAGGACTGAATTGTCTTAATGTTCGTCTTCTGCCTTGCTTCGTCGGGCCCTTGTAGGTGATTTTCTTGTTGCTCTGTCTTCCTTTAGGACATTGAGTACTTTTGTTATGGTCATTGGGCTTACTTTTATATGTTTCTACATGATCATTTTAGTGTTTTACTTATTTAACCTTTTGTAACCATGACAACTGTTAGAATTTCACTTGGCGGGGATTCATTTTATTTACACTGTCTCGTTTATAGGAACATGGTGGGGCTAAGAGCGAGGTTTGGTGCACCATTAACCGGTTTAAACTCCCCAGCAGTATTTATGCTGCTGACCGTTCCAAGGCGGCGCCCCTCTGTGTTCCTCAGTTGTATGTCTATGTTGTTTCATACTGTTATGGTGACACTTGTGTCCCTTGTTGTTTTCTCGTCTACGGTAAGTATCTTCCCCTTTGCCCCTAATTTTTATTTCTTTGATTAACCTCCCCCCCTTCCCCCGGTCTCCTGTCCCCTTCCCCTTTGTGGGCCTATTATTCTTTTCTTTGAACTCCTAATCAGTTACAAATTATTTATCATTTAATGATTAACCTGTCCATGCTCTGTGTTTGCCCTGTCCTGTTTTTGTTTGGGGTCCGCCTGGGCTCCTTGCCATTGGTTCTTGTTGCTGGGTCATATAGGGGTTGCGTTCATTGAACGCCGCCTTTCCTTGTTGATCTTGTTTATCATATTTGTTAAAAAGTGTCATTATTCGTATATTCCTTTACGATTTCGAATTAAGTCCCAGAATGAAGTATCCCATTAATATATGCCTATGAAAGTAAGTTATCTACTGACGTAACCCGTATTACCTTTACTAACAATCACTTACATTATACTATACCTCTTCTCTATTATTATGTAATTAAGTATATATGTAATCTGCATAACGATTGGTTATCAAAGGTAGACATCGCTTTTACAGTTCATTGTATATACTGAATTTCATATGTATTATTCATAAATTATCACAAATAAAATATACTTATTTACTTATTACAGAGCTATTTATTTTCCCGATGAATAGCGTTTCCGTAACGAACCTTAGCCAACCATAAATTTTATAAAAAAAGTAGCTGAGCTAACCGGCCGGCGACATATCAAACACATCAAATACTTATTAACTTTTTAATTTACTAATATTTGGATTTAATTGATATGTTTATGTTTATGGCAGCTGAAGAATTTTTAATACATACCCATTAGGATCCGATTAAGAGTTAAATATTAGATATAGTGTTTAGTGTGCAGTTGTCATAATATTGTTTTTATTCTTGAAGTTCGATTGGTCAATGGGTCCAATGAATATGAAGGGAGATTGGAAGTATGGCATGATGGTTCTTGGGGAACAGTATGTGATGATGAGTTTGATACGCTGTCAGCAAGTGTTGTTTGCAAGATGCTGGGTTATCCACAGTAAGTATCAGACAATATTAACTTATTTCTACATATGCATAAGTTTAACGTCATTCATTTTATCACATGAGGATAACGTAGACAGGCAACGACATTTTCAAAAATATGTTTCGGAAACATGGCATCCAAATTTATTCCTTTACCGCTTGAAATAGTTTCCGGGTGGGAAAAAAGCTTCAATTAGACATAAAGAATATGATGATATATATCCAAAGAGTTCTCAGCATATCTCTGTCGCTAACAAAAGGTAACCAGATTACATATTGAAGTATCCACACACTTAGATTTAGCCGAGGCTATTTTAAATTCAGATTACTGTAATCGTAAAGGCAATAGGTGTGGTTTATATTTTTGAAGAATATTTTAAACTGTAAAAAATATCTGAGGAATGCCTATTAAACGTTATACCGTAACAGAGTGAGTGAATGTGCTTATGTTATCTTTGCACTTCAAGCCAATATTCGCAAGACAATGTTTGGCTTTTATGATCGATTGCTCTTATTAAAATTGAATTGGATTTAGTATAATTGTCATAGATAATAAAGCCATGATTGTATGTATGTCTTTGTTCAATTCAAATAGTTTTTTCTAAAAATCATAATTATTTAAATACTTCCCTAGCATGTACTATATATTGATCTTATCTCTTTCTTGTCTGTGTCATACAAGATATTGTAGGTTGATCATTCTTCGGTGTAAATCTTAAACAAAGAATTATTAGCATAATAAACCTATTTTACATGTTCTGTAAGATTATTTAAACAAGTAGTAAGCTTAAACATCAGAAATAAGATTCTTTTTGTCACACTTCTGAATTATATTATCACTTTTTCGGAACAAATAAAGTAAAACAAAAAAGAAAATAATATAATATGTGCTTTAAATTAAATTTTGATTTATTGTAATTCTAGAAGTTACCTAATTGCTTAATTTTAATGCTTTAGATCAAGTCATAAATAAGAATTCCTTTTTTAAAAATTGATTTATAACAAGAACTGATTTACGTGTATCTTTTTTAAATAGCAGTTGATCTGCTGTTTGATTTTCGATATGAATGTGTAACCTTTATATAAATTAATTGTTTTGAGAGAGAGAGATCAAAAAGAGATTTGGTGAATTGATTGTAATTTAAAGCATGATAAAAATAGACAAAATATGATGTATCTGAAAATTTGGAAACAAACACTTTAATAGACATGGGAAATAATAATTTTAGGGCAAATCCTATGGTATTTCGATCAGCATTCTTCGGCGCCGGAACAACACCAATACATTTAGAAAATGTTAAGTGTACGGGAACTGAAACAAGCCTATCTCAATGTTCGTATAATGACTTGGGAGAAAATACTTGTTCACATAGTGACAATGTTGGTATATCATGTCCACCAGGTAAGGCTATCATTGCTAGTTGAAAACTGTTTCAGAAATTCACATTCTGTTTAAAAGAGGACATTTGGAATATAGTACAATTATTCAAATAAACATATCTTTAAGATTTAGAACGATTTGGCCTTTAACATTTGGCCATGTCAGCTATTTGCTCCTCATACGTCGCATGGTCCTTTACCATGACCTGTTTCAAGATAGTTCCACATTTAGCATTAACTGACAAACCCTCTATCAAAGAAAAAAATCTTATGAATTTTTTAACACATGTAATATATAAATGAAATTTTTCTCTATTGCGAATTGTATATGTCGATTAAATGTATATTTTTCTTTGTCCATTTACTTGTTTTTTCCTTACTTTATACATTATATATTTTATTTTGAATTTATGTATTATGTCAATATCACACAAATTAAACCGGGCGATAATTAACCCCAACCCTATAATACGTCTTTTGCCATAGGTTGAAAAATGTTCAAATATTTGTCAGTGATACTCGTATGATAAGATGTACAACAAAAATACGTATACAGTGTCTTTTATAATTTTTCATATATATGATAGCTTGAGTTGAAAATCAAAGAAGAGATGTGCACAGAAGAGTATATCTCTATATATCATATGTAAAAAGAACAAAAAGCCTTAATCTGCTAAAAATGTTCGCAAAAGATCGACAAAGTGCGCCGAGGCTCCTGATGATGATGCTTTTGTAAAAATATAGTAAAAAACGCTTGCGGAATGTAATAGGAATTGAGCACAAAGAAGGTTTATTTCGCTGTAGTGTTTTTAAACGAAGGGAAATAATTTTTGAATCGCAAAACACTATGCGACTGTTAACTTGATGACAAAATTTCTGTGAAAGTTTCGTCAAAGTTGCTTTAGAAGTGAATGAGTTTAGAAGTGTTTTTTACTAAGGGCCATTCATTCCACCAAATATCTGAATCACAAAATCCTTGACAATACTCGTATGCACCAGAACACTAAATAACAAATTATCCTTGAAAGATTAGTAAAAATTGCTTGAGAAATTAAGGAGTTGAGAAATGTTTTTTTTTTTTGTGTGTGAACTAAAGGACATTATTCCACCAAAATGGCTAAATCACAAAACTCTGACAGTATGCACCCGAACACTTAATAACAAAACATCTGTTTAAGTTCTACTTTATTAACTTGAGAAAGAGGCGATTTCTCTGTTTATTATTCCGCACATTAAAAACAATATTTGCCATGTCAATTGATGACAAAGCTAGCAAGTAAAAAAGACGGGTCAAAGTTCCTTTAGAAATGTAAAAGGAGTCGCAAATAGCAATTATTCTCTCTGTTTAAAAATAACAAAGGTCATAATTACGGCAAAATGTTGGAATTGCAAAATATTGAAAATGATCGCCAGGGCATTTGACTACAAAGTTGTAAAATTCGTCAAAATCCCTTAAGAAACGTAATAGGAGTTGCGCACAGAAAACATTGTTAACACACGACAGTCCAGTAATGGGTTAATAGCCATTTAATAATTCAAGGTGCTAACCCCCTGCACTAAGGTTATGATTTAATGATATACGAAACTAGAAACTATTGTCTTAAAATAGTGATTCTATTCTTGTAGTTCGATTGGTTAACGGGTCGCATCAATATGAAGGGAGACTTGAAGTATGGCATGATGGGTCTTGGGGGACAGTATGCGATGATTATTCTAATGTGCATTTGGCAAGTGTTGTTTGTAGGATGCTGAATTATCCGCAGTAAGTGGATATTATCTTTTATTCTGAATACAAGTATATTAACTTATATGAAATAGGGTGTAAAAAGTTTGTTCTGGAAATATCACACCAACGTTCATCATTTAGTTGCTAGACCAGAATAGTTTTATTTTAATGCTTTTTCGGCGGGCAGAGAACTACGATCGATAAAAATATCCAAAAATTGTTCAGTATATCTCTGTAGATATGACGACATGTATAAAGAGTATTCAAGACTGGACATACGGGGAAAATGCACAGCAAGTTACTTTCTGTTTCATGTCCTAAGTATCTGTGCATCTGTAAAATGTGCATTCAAGCTACCTTGTTTCTTTATTTATCCAGTTTGAAAAACCCCATAAGGTTTAATATACTTCTGTTTTAAATAAAACTATCTTCTGTTTTAAAATATTGGACCAATCTGTTTCAAATATTTGCCAAAGTTTCTAGCAAATGTCTGATATAAAGATGCCATCTATATATTATCAATATTTGACACAATTTAAAATAAAAACCTCTCATTTTTAGTAGATTCCTATCCATTTACAGTAAATTTCAATAATTATTGTGATTTTTTTGGCGCAAAACGTTGTACTTTTGCGTTTCCTTAATATTTAAACGTTACATGTCATACTTTTACAAGAACTGTATTAGTTATGAATACTTGAAAATGTTATTTAAAATTATTAATCATGTCTTTAAACAACATACATTTATTCTTTATACACACTGATAAGTCGGGTATCCGAATTATGTCATTGAAATATTAAATAATTCTTGATTTAACGAAGTACAATGTAAGTGATTTGTACATTTTTATTATATATGTTTATATAGTTAAAAATAATTTTTGATCAATAAAGTAAACCCCGCTTAACGATATTCAGTGGACCTCCAAATTTGTAACGATATAATCGGATATTGTCATTCCAAAGTCAACTAATTGGAAAAAGTTGAAATCGCGGCAGCTGCATCGTTATAAGCGGTATTCGGTTATAAGCGATATCGTTTTTAGTGGAGTTTACTGTAACAATATTTATATTTTCATGCATGTATAACAAAACCACAATCGATAAAAAATAAAAATAATTTTCTGGAATTCCAATACTACTAACTTTGCAATGGAGGGCTAACTTACCTTTTGCATGCACACAAAAATCAGCGGAACACGGGTTTGTATTTAAAGCCGAAACGGGGTTGTATTTAAAGCCGAAAGGCGGCGGGGATATAGAAATAGTGTCCGTCCGTCCTTCCGTCCGACATTTTTGCCCGGAGCATATCTCAAAACGTATTTGAGATATCAACTTGAAACTTCATTGGTAGATAGATCATATTAAGCAGGAGTGCATTGCACATTAATGCTAACTCTACCCTGCATAATTTTTCAGTTATTCCTCATTGTTATTTTTCAAACTTAATTTTAATCCAGAGTATAACTCTAAAAGGTTTGAGATATCAACAAGAAACTTATGTTGATAGATCTCACTCAGAAGGTGTGCAGTGCACAGGAATAATAACTCTATCCTTCATTATTTTTGAGTTATCGCGCTTTGTTTTTTTCATACTTAATTTTTCACCTGAGTGGAGAATAACTCAGTTTTTTTCGAGATGTCAACAAGTGGATAGGTCTTATTTAGGAGGAATGCTGTGCTTAAGAATGATAACTTTTCCATTTATGTTTTTTAGTTATTGCCCTTTGTTATTTTTCATACTTTTAGTCCGGAGCTTTTCTCAAAAAGTGTTAAAGATATCAACTTGAAACTTCATATGTGGATAAAAAAGCCTTTGAGATATCGACATCATAGGTGAATAATTCTCCCTCAGGAGGTGTGCAATGCACAAGATTGATAACTCTACCCTTCATAATTTTTGACTAATTGCCGTTTGTTATTTTTCATACTTATTTTTTTCCTAAGTGGAGCATTACTCAAAAAATCTTAAAGATGTCAACATGAAACTTCATAGGTGGATTTTATTTATCTTATTGGGGAGGAATGCTGTGCGCAAGAATGATAAATCTACCCTTTATAATTTTTGAGTTATCGCCCTTGTTTAGTTTTTCATACTTTGTGTCCGGATCTTATCTCAAAAGTATTACAGATATCAACCTGAGTCTTCATAGGTGGATAAATCTCATTGAGGAGGAGTGCAGCGCACAAGAATGAGAACGCTACAGTGTATAATTTTTCAGTTATTGCCCTTTGCTATTTTCATGCTTATTTTTGTCCAGACAGTAACTTATTTAGTGTTTACTTTATATGGTATTCACTTGAAACTCAAAATAAAACTTTGTCTAAGTCCGTCTTCTTTCCTTCCGTCCGTCCTTCCGCTCTCACGATACAGTAATAATGTGGTTAGAGGGACAATAGGTAACTGTTCTTTCTCTTTGATGGCATTCATTCCGTAATGCTTTTATGTGGCTATTTTCTTTTGTGTGGCTTAAAAGAACAATAGACAGAACAATAGAGTAGCCGCATAATTACTGTCCCATTAGAACGTCCTTCTGTCTGTCCTTCCGTCCGACATTTTTGTCCGGAGCATATCTAAAAAAGTATTTGAGGTATCAACTTGAAACTTCATGAGTGAATAAATCATATTATATAGATCATATTGAAGAGCAGTGCAGTGCAAAACAATAACTCTATCCTGCATAATGATTAGTTATTGTCCTTTGTTATTTTTTGAACTTAATTTTTGTCCAGAGAATAACTCAAAAAGCCTCTGAGATATCAACATGATATCAACATGAAACTTCATAGGTGGATAATTATATTTCACTCAGGAGGTGTGCATTGCACAAGAGTGATAAATCTACCCTTCATAATTTTTTAGCTAATGCCCTTTGTTATTTTTCTTACTCAACTTTTCACCTCAGGAGCATAACCCAAAAAAATTGTTTGAGATGTCAGCATGAAACGTTATACTAGGTGGATTTATCTTATTAATGAGGAATGCTTTGCTCAAGAATGATACCTCTAGCCTTTATAATTTTTGAGGTATTGTCCCTTGTTATTTTTCATTTTTGTCCGGGGGCGCCATGGCCGAGTGGTTAAAGCCGTTGATTTCAAACCACTTGCCCCTCACCGCTGTGGGTTCGAATCCCGAAAGGAACTTTGGATTCTTTCATGTGAGGAAGCTATCCAGTTAGCTTACGGAACGTCGGTGGTTCTACTCAGGTGCCCGTTCGTGCCTGAAATAATGCACGGAAGGGCACCTGAGGTCTTCCTCCACCAGTACTGGAACGTCGCGATATGACCTATACTGTTTTGATGTGACGTAAAACCCAAAACAAAACAAAAAAATACTTTTTGTCCGGAGCTTTTCTCAAAAAGTGTTAGATGTATCAACTTGAAACTTCATAGGTGGATGGATCTCATTGAGGAGGAGGGCAGCACATAAGAATGATAACCTACCCTGCATTATTTTTCAGTTATTGCCCTTTGTTATTTTCAGCAATCAGTATTTACATAGGTTTCATATTTGTAATCACTTCAGCCATCGGTTTTCATTACCAAAAGACAATTTAAATTTAATCATTCAGCACTATTACATATGCATTATTCCAATGAGCAAACACATTCTGTGAGAGATGGCCATGTTAACATGGCTCTTGTTTTTTTTCAGATGTTTTTTCGTCAAATTAAGAGACCTTTTTGGACATACTCTTTTAAAGCATGCTTTCTTTTCCTTCGTTTTTTGATTGTAACAAGATATGATTTCTTTACTACGACTAACGCGTTTTTAAATCAACATAATGAGTTTATGAAACAAATAATCAATTATAATATATATGAGTGTGTTTGATACAAAAAAGAATTTTGTTTTAGGACGAATCCTCTGGTATTCCCTGTAGCACGTTTCGGCGCTGGGACATTACCAATACAATTAGACGATGTTAAGTGTAAGGGAACTGAAACAAGCTTATCTCTGTGTCTGCATAACAAATGGGGAGAACATAATTGTGATCACAATGAAGATGTTAGTGTATCATGTCCACCAGGTAATAACAAAATTGTAACCCGATTAAATATTTCTATACTTTTAACGAAAACGATAAAATTATATTGTTTTATAAATTCCAGTCTGATTCTTAAAAAATCGTAACAGAGAAAGTGTGATTTGATACACGTGATTAAAAACTGTGTAAATGAAATAAAATGTTATAGAAGAAAAATTATTCTGCTGTTTTAAATTTTAACTATTTAGCAATAGTTTTGTGTTCGTGCCAGTTGGTCAAAATGCAATATTAAAATATTATTATGTTAATTTAGATTTGAAGTGATTTATGTGAATATATTACCAGCCAACATTTTATATCACCCGAACTTGTAGGCGAGGATGATATTTTATCTTGGCAGGTAATATATCCACATATATCAAAACAAAAATCATTTCCCTGCCGAGTAAGACGATTTTAAAATAAATCATTGCTGTTTCAAACGTCGAAATAAGATTCCAATTAGGGTACCCCTTCACCGCAAAATGACGTCACTTACTGGAGCGTAACATCGAACCCTACCCGTGATGTTCACAACCTGGGGTACCCAAAGGGGATATTTGATGTATATATTACCTTTCTGGTTCGGAAATATCATTTTCTTTCGGCGAATATCCAAGCAAAAAATTGGGGAATCATCTGGAAGGGTAATAAACATGTTTTACAATTTTTTTTTCAAACAGGCATATTTGGACTGTTCTGTTTCAAAATAAAATCAAAACTTTTGTACACTGCAGGTTGCAGAGATATTGCTTTATACTTTAATTTATGATAATCTAAATGTGACATAAAGTGTTTCTGAGATATCTTACCTGATATTTTTACCTTCTACAGATAGCGTTTAATGAGCTGTAAAAAAGGTCATAACATAACCTTCATTTTCAGAGTTTAAGACCGCACTTTGGAATGAGTTAGATGTGTCTCTTAATAGACTGATAAACACACCCGTTTGTGGATGGTCATTTTAAAGTGTTTTCTTATTTCGAGACATATTTTTACATTCATAGAACTATAACAAACAATGATAGAAACAATAATGATGAAAACGTTAATGATGACAACGATGATGATAGTGGTGTTTTAACAATGAAATATCAAAAATTGTTATTATCTTGGTTGATAAAAGTATTGTTATTTTATTTGACTGTAACGTTAAAAAAAAGAAAAGACAAACTAGTATCTACTCTCTATCTCGTAGTGATTAGAAAACTTCGAATGTAAATAAAAACTTGTATATTTATTATTCTGATTCTTGAAGTTCGATTGGTTTCCGGGTCAAATGAGTATGAAGGGAGACTGGAGGTATGGCATGATGGGTCTTGGGGAACAGTATGTGATGACAGTTTTACTGTACGATCAGCAAGTGTCGCGTGTAGGATGCTACATTATCCACAGTATGTAACAATTTAATGCCTAATCAAACCAAAATTTCATTAACTTTTTTTTGTCATAGACAAAATTTTACCAAAAAGTGAAATTTTAAGTACCCTAGCAATCAATATCTTTCTTAAAATGTATTCTTCTCAACGAAAACGCTGAAAATCGAAAAAATGACTTTGTTCCTTATTTGTCCGATTAAAACATATTTCTATTTCAGAAATGATGCTCTGGTATTCGGGTCCGCACACTTCGGTGCTGGTACATTACCTATTCATTTAGACGATGTCATATGTTCGGGAGATGAAACAAGCTTATCTCAATGTCTGCATAATGATTGGGGTAAACATAATTGTGGTCATTCTGAAGATGTTGGATTATCGTGCTCACAAGGTATTTTGGAAGGAAGTGCATTTAGTAGAATAGATACAATCTTGCTATTTTCAAACGTGATTAAAACGTGATTTAAACGTGATTTAAACATAAGAACTATCTGTGCTAAATGGATTCCCCATTTGTTGACAGATGAGAAGGAAAAGAAAATCTTGCAATGCGGTTATTTATCGCTTAAAGTATCCAAATCCAAGTACACGATTCTTTGCAAAATTATTTATTTTTATGAGCAAAACAAAAACATCTTAACAAAATTTGTGCTTCAAAGTCTGACATACTGTCTAGATATAAATAAAGCAATTGTTCTTGAAAGTTCCCCGTAAACCAGCAACAAAGATGGTATGTTCCTTCTGATGTACCACATGCTCTAACACTTGTTCACCTGGATAAGGTTAAGAAGCACATTCATGTCTGTCTAAAGGAAGGGCATCTACTTGTCGTCGTTGATTTAATATATACAAAACAAATTTCATAAAATGTTTCTCTAGATCCTTTGCCAAGGACACGAGAATTTTTTTTAATGTCTAACGATATGAATTTCTACGAACCATTTTTGTATTCCATTATACAAGTAGACAATGTGTAGCGAGCTATAATCACAGCTTTAGTGAAGGGACAAAAATGAATATGTTATATTCCTCATTTCCTACTGTTTCATGCATTATTGAACAGAATCACGCATTCATATTTGTGCACTGCTCATATATTGCTCTACACATGTCTGTCTGTCGATCAGTCGGTTGATCGGTCTATCTGTAGACCAAACAGTGTATGACCAAAAAAATTAAGAACCCCTGATTGTACAATTTTGATCATGTTTTAGTTCTCTTTGGCAAAGGTAACGGTCACATTTTTATTTTGAATAATAAGAACGTTCAAAAGCAATAGACCGTTCGCCCTCAAACCTAATAGATACACTGGTCTTTAGGTCAAAGGGTCAAAGATCAGGGTAATAATGACATTAAATGTCATAATGGTTTTTAAACAATAATAAAACTTGACAAGCTATGGGCCCTTAAATTTCACAAGTGCTTCATTCTAGGACAGTAAAAACACTGTTAATTATGAGTAAAAGGTTCAAAGGTCATTGACATTGTATGTCAAAACGGTTTTCAAATCAATTTCTTCAACAATCCTAAGCCCCTTGATGATAAAAGACATTTAATTTAGTGCATATATAAAAAAGGTTCATCCAAAGACTAGGCCTAAGCAATCTTTTTACTGGTACATTGGTTTGGGTTTAACTTTTGGTGACCCCTATTGATTTTGATGTCAATGGGTCATAGGTCATTGTCGCATTTGCTTTGTACATGATGTATTTCAAAACGGTTCGGGATCAATAACTCCACATCCCAAGGGGCATCGGTTTTTTTTTTGGTCAGTTTAGATGACCCTATTAATTTTATGGTCAAGGGGTAAAAGGTCAAAGTCGCATTGAAACCGTTTTTTGTCAAAAAGGTCTTTTTTGTGTCCGACCAAAAATCGACAATCAATAGACTAGCGGTTATTAAATTTTTAAAGGTTAATTGATCCTGGGCCAGTACATTGTAGATAACCGCTATGAGTTTGGGTCGCAGAATCAAGTTCAAGGTCACAATGACCTTGTATGTAAGAAAGGTTACCCTCGATTAATAACTCAGTAACTTGTAGATGTTTGGCCCTCCAATTTTGGACAGGCGGCAATTTGTCAAAATTTAAAAGGTAAACATTGACCCCCCATCAAAAAACGGTTTTGGGAAACCAAATAATTTGACAATCCCTTGGTCCTTGCCACTCAAACTTAACAATCATTCCTTGGTCATGGGCATAAGAGAACCTTTTGGGCCTCAATGTTATTTTGAAATTTACAAAAAAAAAGGTTTCCCTAAGCAAACATTTGCATGCAACTTTGGTCAGGCCTTACCAAGATGTCATACATGACTTAAAAACATCTCCTGTTTTGCTATAACTATAAGTAGGACAAAGAATATCTGACTTAAATTTATTAAGAAATAAAGTGGTAATTAAATTAACTTTTTCATTCTGATTATATGCAACAAATAAAAATATCATTGACGAATATTCAGTTATTCGATTGGTCAATGGGTCACATCAATATGAAGGGAGACTTGAAGTTTGGGAATAAGAGGGCAAATGGGGAAACAGTGTTGCGATATATATTTTCATTTCCGCTTCTCTGCAGGCCAGTTGTTTGTAGGATGCTGAAATATCCAGAGTAAGTAACAAGAAAAAATAACTAATCTAAATTGGTATGTAATGTAGTATATGAAAATGTAAATGTTCTATTTCAAATAGATTAAGGCAGAAAATTTTAACAAGAATATTACATTTCAGTTTTCCAGCCAAGGCATCATGTGGTTAATTCATAAAAAATCAGAGAAACAATTTTCCAAACCGCGAAAACATAACACTTTGTCGCGAAACCCTAAAGTTCTTAAAAAATACGTTTTGTTTCTTGGGCTAAAACCCCACTGACCCTCTTGTTTGTTCCGCTGGTCGTACCTTTTTTATAGACATTAAAAAATCCTTAATTTTACCGACCGGATTGAAAAGGACGTTTTATTATCGTTACGTAACAAAAATGGCTGCGTTCAGGTTCAAATTGTTGCAAAAAATGATGGGCGTGATGTTTATCAAGGAGAAGAAATAAACCATTTATAATTGGGAACCCCTTATTTTTAACTACATCATCGTCTATGATGGGCATTTTGAATCAATTTTACAACATGAAGTATGCAAGGCAGTATCGTATTGAAAATTTGAAATAAAGCAAAATTCCCAAATCTCGACTTCAATTTAATGCAATGACAATTCAACTTCTTAGGGGGTTTTATTCGTTAAAGTTAAAATTACCTGTTTTGTTGCGCTTATTTGTGACATATGACACATTTATGACATAGCTGTTGAAAAAAGTATAAAGTTAATCAAGTATTTTGCAAGTTTTTTTTCCTTTTCTTTAAAACTGCTAGGGACTAAAATGTTGTTGAAAGGCTTTATTATGCCTTCTTAAATCCATAAAAATCAATTTAAACTCCTTTAGAAATGGCAAAACAACAGCCTAAAATAATGTTTTAAATAATGGATTTAAGAAACAATATAAGATGTTTAAAATAGTAAATTTCTGTAAAATGAAAAGCACTGTTGAATTTGCAATAAATGTGTCGTAAAGCTTAAAAAAAGCAAAAATGTCAAAAGTTGTATTTTGACCTTTTCATTACAAAATTACGAATTTGCTAACATAAAACAGGTAATTGTGCGAGCAATGCAAAAGAAAGCCAAAGATAATTAATGCTGCTTTTGGGGAAAAATGTGGTTTCTTGTTTTGAAAGATGTACCAATATTTAAAAAAAAAAAAGATTAAGGTTTTTTTGAGAAATTTTTAATTTATTTGATTTAATTATATTATGTATCAATTGTTTTATTGAAATTTTAACCTTGCAAGTTTTTTTGGTTTGATCGTCCTACCTAAAACATTTTAGTGTAAATTGGCAATAAATTTACAAACAATAATTTAATAATAAAACAACACATGTTGTATTTTTCTTATAATCTGAACTTCAGAGTTTAACAATATCCTAGGAACCTTATTATTAGATACCAAAAAGGGGTAGTTTATTTTAATTTTTATAGATCTAGCTTTTATTTTTTTGCTAAAAAAAAACACAGGTAACTCATTGTTTAAATTTACAACGATTTGTTATTCCTTATTCTACTTTAAGCGAGAGAAAGTGCCACTCTAGTTATAAATTCAATGCAGTTATAAACACATTGAACTTAGCGATGGTCAATGACTTTCCTTGTAAAATCCCTATTCTTGAGTACAAATTATTTCTCGCTATGTTAAACCAAAAACTAATTGTAATGAAATTTCGTAGAGATCGCTCCAGCATGAAATGACAGTAATCGAATTCCAGCCAGTTATAACAC